GCACTGTGATCTAATTTAAATAATACTTTTTTATTATTTATACTACTATATATAATATACATCCACACTTTTGCTATATAACCTAAGTGGATAACCCTCTCTTAGTTACCTGCCAAACTCGGGACTTTGGTTTCTATTGCAGTTAACGCAGTTACAACGTCGTAATGGTGTCCTCTATTTCCCTTTGTAACGGAATGTGTAAATCAAAGTGTATACATTGTGTGGTGTTCCTGTTTCTGGAGTTTCACGAGGATTTACACACAGCATTCAGTGTTCTGTATAGACCCGCCCACCTTTGTGAAATTCACCTGTCAGCCCCTCTCCCTTTGAGAGAGCACCCACCCGCCCTGGGGGTTCACTCCTTCTTTCCTCTCTCTCCTACTGGTCATCCTTGAATTAAGCACAGACTCATCAGCTCGGTTGCTTTATCACGAGAAAAAATGCGTGTGACCTTGCCATTCTTCCACAGTTCTACAAACAAGTGCTAGCTTCACCGACCAAAAAAAATTAAGGAGGGAAAATCCGATTTTTAAAAAAAAACAACATCTTTTAACAGCCGAAACCGATGTGTCTATGGTGCTGTATCCTGCTGTCTGTCGTACTTTTGAAATCAGACCTAGGCGAAAGATCACTTCTGACTTAACTGTGATGTGCTCACAAGCCCCCACCCTGTTCGTTCCGTTCCCGTTGAAATCAAGAGTATTTATTGGGGATCTATACAACAGTGTTTTCCACTGTGTTTCATTTGCAAAAGCGGAGAACACCCTTCCCTGCTTTTGCAAATAATTAATATTCCATATTGGATTCTCGACGACTTCGATATGGCGAACCTGTCAAACCTAGAAATTGTATTCCATCCTTTCATGACTGTGGCCTGAGTTCCCCGACACCGCCCCCCCCCCTTTATTTTAAGATGAAACTTAGCACCATTTCAGTTCTGTAAACATTCAGCTTCTCCTGCAAATGTACGTGGAGGCCATCCAAGCTCATAGCCGATTCAGTAGCCAGTTCCGCACCGTGTCATTCACACTCACTTCTTACACTGCCATGGTGACAATGTGGAGGAAACAGTATCCGTGTGTGTCTGGGAAGCATCCTACACTTGTACCATTTTTTAAAAAAATATATACTCTTGATTCTGTAACACTTCTGAGGTGTGTTTTTGTTTTGCAGAAAAATAACAGTGATAAAGCAATCAGAAGACCCAGAGGTTTACTCTCAAGGCTTAGGGTCGACCTTCTGACCTTTGCTGGCCAATCGACCTACATGGCCAAATTAATGTATTAGCGTCATACTTGTTCAGAAGCCAATTTTCTTTTCTGTATTTTCTGTATGAAACTGCCAATATCGTGACTAGGAAGGGAGAACCGTAGAGGAGAAGGAAGGTGGTGTTCGTTGTGTTCGCGGTCCGCAGCAGGGAGGAGGCAGGCACGATGGGCCGAACTTGAGGGACCTGATGGTGTTGCTTTGGAGGTATCCATCCTTGCGTTTCGCATTCTTCATATGTAATCATATTGCCAAAGACAAACTATTTCATCATTTATTGTAAATAACACTTTCCCCCAGACCTACCATAAAGTTTCTGTGATGTATTGTCTTCCAGTTGCAATAAAAATTACTGAGTTGCATCAATTGACGAGAAATGGCCTCGTGGTGTTGTGCGCTGCATCTCCACATGCAAGTGCTGAGTAGCGAGTGCATGTGGCTTCTTACCTGCACTGGGAGGGTGGGGCGCTGTGTTTTCTGAGTCTGGTGTTCCGGTCTCAGCTGCACTAGTTGTGCCCGTCTTCACACATGCTTTCCTTTTGGTGGGAAATCACACACCTTTCTGCAAATACACAAGTGGGCAACCCGAAACTGGGCTCCCCTGTGGGTCCCGGGAATCCCAGCGCTAGTCTGCAGAGTTACTGGGCAGCAGGCCTTCCATCGAGGGCCTGGGAGCTTGTGGGTAAGACAGATCATACCTCTGTGTTGTTTTTTTCCCCCTTCAATCATCCCCTGAGATTGAGAGACAGACAGGCAGACAGACATCCGCTGCTCCTGTACATGCCCTGACCAATATCAAACCCACAATCTCCTACTGCACAGTATGACCCTCCAACGAACCAAGCCACCAGGCCAGATCAAGTCTCCATTTGGAAGCTGTCAAATGATACTAGACTTTAGGACTGGAGCCTGCCGGCCTTTCCCAGGGCTGAGGGTTTCTTGTGATGACTTTTCTAAGCCTTAGATTCTCACCTTCCAGGACCTCCCAGCACCACTGAAATGCCCTCCCCGCCCAACATGCACACACCAAGAGCCAGCAAGGAGCTGAAGGGGAAGGGGAGTGGCTGGGACAAGTACTAGGTCATAGGGCACCGTCCCCAGCTACAGCAGTATGGAAACATGTCTCAGAGCTTCGCTGGTTCCTGGTGTGCTAGTTCTTTGTGCTCGAGTGCTCGGTAGATCTGCAGGAACTCCAGGGGAGCCAGGCTCAGCCACGACCCATCTGCTCGGCCCCATTCACTGGTGTCCAGGATGCCAGGATGAGCTCCTGTGGTGGGGATGTGACTGTGAGGTCAATGGTCACCTGGGGACCCCATGTCTGCCAGCAATCCTGCCAATTCCATTTCCATTTCCACTGTTGGAATCACCTTCAAAACTGTGGTGTGTCCTCCTAGATCAGGGGTGGGAAACGTTTTTCTGCCAAGAGCCATTTGGATATTTATAACATCACTCGAAGGCCATACAAAATTATCAGCTTAAAATTGAGCCTGCTATATTTGGTCAAACATTAGATTAACTCACCCCTAATGCTTTGGCAGGCCAGACCCAATGATTTCGTGGGCCTTCTGTGGCCTGTGGGCCAGACGTTCCCCACCCCAGTAAAATCTCCAAGTGGCTAGACAGGAGACACCAGCTAGAGTACCATCAGATACATCTAAGGGAACTCAGTCAAAATGAAACACCTCCAAAATTCTAATCTGACCTGTTGGGTACATTGACCCATCCCACCGAAAGGAGCAAAAATCTGGCCCTGGCTTGTTACCTGCAGTGAAGGCCCTGAGGGAGGGACATACAGCTTAAGTGGGGAAGGAGACAAGTGAAAGAGGTAGGATCGAAACAACACTGCATGACAATAGAAAACGCAGCCACCAAAGTCAAGTTCATTGTGTTAGCGTTGCACACGATTTCCATGAATGATTCCAATATCTGAAGGCAGTTCACTTGTTTAATTCAAGAAGCATTCATTTAGCAGCAACGCCTTCCCAGTGACTGCTGGGTGATGGTGACATGTGGACCAGTCCTCAAGGGCCTGGAAAGCTAATG